TGGCAGGCAATGAAGTGGAGTAGTACCTGGAGCCAGGTGGGGAAGCGCTATAACTGAACTAGTTAGAGGCTCCTTCAGTGGTTCCCATGAAAACTGATAGAAGTCTGCATTACCTGGTAGGGTCACAGTGTTGAGACCTATAACCTGTGAAGGCAAGGAGGAATGAGGGATGATTCCTTGGTTTTGTTTTGAATGGGCTCTATGTATGGAGAGAGAAGGACTAAGGGAAGAAAAGCTCTGGAAACAGCATCCGGAGCCCTGTTTAGGGCCAGTTCAATGTGACATGGCATCAAGCACATCCAGTACACAGGAAGGTTCAAGTGGGCCTTTGGGGTCATCTGCACAGAGATGGTGATTTGAGACCCAGAACTGAATGATACCCCTGGAAGGTGGGGAGGAATAAGGAACAAAGGCCCAGCACTGAGCCCTAGGACTGGAATGGAGGTACAGGGAACTGGTAGACCACATGTCCCTGGCATAAGAGCTGGAAGAGCTGCTGCTGGTGAAAAGGCAAGAGAACTGGAAGGTTATGGGCATCTGGAAGCCAAATGAAAAAAATATTTCCAGAAAGAGAGTTCCAGCAGTATTTTGTAGGCTTGAGTTGGTCTCTCTCTCTCTTTTTAAAAATCAGTGACACTTTATTACAAGACTTTAGTTACTATTGTTAACTAAGTCTTCGTACTTCTGAAAGTATAGTTCTCTTTTTGTGATTGGAAACATACTTCATAATTATCCTGTAGTATTGAGAAGTTACAGAAACAAATAATAATACAAATTCTAAAAACTATTCACTTTGGTTCCCAGGTATAACCGTAGTTTAGCTCAGGGCTCAGAAAGTCTTCTGTAAATTTCCAGATAGTAAATACTTCTGACTTCAGGGGAGATACATTCTATATTGCAGCTATTCACCTTGGCTGTGACAGTGTGAAAACTACCATAGAAAACATGTAACAGATGAGTGTGGCTGGTGTCATATAAAACTTTATTACAAAAACAGGCAGCAGGCCAGATTTGGCCCAGAGGCCCAGATCTCTACACCTTTGATGTTCAGAATCACACTTCTTACCTTTAGGAGTTGATCAATTATGAAATGCTATTCTGATTTTTTTTTTAAATGGAAGCCACTCGATTTGTTACTTTATGTTATAAAACACTTTGTAAACAATTTGATTTAATCAGCCAGTTTTATCCTCCAGCATGTTGAATATGTTTAAGTCTTGATGGAATTATCTTTAAATCCATGGACACACAGACGTCCTTCCCCCCATACCCTGGTATTCTCCTGTCTCATTTGCTATTTTCAGCCTCACTGCTTTTAATACTTTTCTGTGAGTTATGTCCTCTGAATAACAAACTATTAGTTATCCAAACTGAATTCTCTAGCATAAATAAAAGATTTTAAGTTGTACAGAGTTTCATTCTCTGTTTTAGTGTTTGAAGTGCTTATACAGGGACTTTTGGTTCACTGTGAACATAGCATATGCATATATAGTATACCCAGTATATATCACATTCACCCTGTGTATAATGCAGTGCCACATTCACCCTGTGTATAATGCTTTAGCTTCTTACCTGTTCTTGGTATTAAATAAATATATACATACAAAATGCTTAGATTCATATCTGCTGGTATTGAATACTTAAAAAAATACTAGGTATTCTTAACCATGGATCTGTGTTGGCAGCTTGTACAGAAATGAAAAACTAGCCAAAAAACAAGAAAACCCCACAAAATTCTCTTTGTTGTTCAGAACTGACTGATCCTTTGAAAAAGACTGCAAACATAATGGGGTATGAACTTACACTTAAAAATATTTTAACTACCAGCTTGACAGATACTTAGTGTCAAAAATTATTTTAAGGATCATCAAGTCAGGGTTTCTTAATCTGCAATCCATGAATCCCTGGAAACTGTAGGTGACAGTGTGTATTTATATGTGTGTGTGTGTGTGTGTGTGTGTGTGACGCACATGCACTCACATATGCCCATGTGCAATTTTGTTTCTCCTAGGGCATCATGCTTTTGCTAGACCCTGGCAAAGGTCTGTACCTTAGAATGGCTGAATCCCCCCTTCACAGTGAGGACCATTCAGGAGCAGAGACTTGCTTTGGGTCCTGGTTCTGCTGCTGCTAAATAGTTTGACTTTTAGCAAATCCATTTCTCTGAACCTTAGGACCTATGGAACTACTTGGTTTCTGTTGCTCCTAGAATTGTTGTAAAGCTTGTACAAAAGAACTTTTGAATTATAATGTGCCATATAAATATGTAGTTGTGGCACTATTATGGTAAAGAAGCAATGGCCAGAGGAAGCAGGTGACTAGTCTGCTTAAGGGGACACCACTAGGTGGTCCTAGCCCCCTGACATCTCCATTCCCAAGGCCTTGTTAGTGCACTGTTTCCTAAACATGGGGCCACAGCTTTTCCTGAGAATAAAACTGCATGGTGCTAAGAAAAACTGGCCTTTTCAACAAGTGATACGTTGACAACTGGATATCCATGTATAAATAATGCATTTGGACTCCTAAACATATACAAAATTTAACTTCAAATGGGTCCTAGAACTAAATACAAGAGGTAAAACCATGAAATTCTTATAAAAAAACATAGGAGTAAATCTTACTGTTCTTAGGTTAAGCAAAACATTCTTTAATATAACACTACGAGCACCAGTGACAAAACACAAGTAGGTAAAGTGGACTTTTGAGGTTCACAAGACACCATTAAGAAAGTAAAAAGACATTAACTGAGTGAGGTGGTACGGGCTTGTGTACCCAGCTACTGTGAGGCTGATGCAAGATCGTGTGAGTCGTAGATTTGAGGGTGTAGTTTGCTATGACTGTGCATATGAATAGCCAGCGCACTCTAGCCTGGGCAACGTAGTGAGACTCTGTCTCTTAAAACTCAGGCCTGTAATCCCAGCACTTGGAAGGCCAGGGTGGGTGGATTGCCTGAGCTCATGATTTTGAGACCAGCCTGAGCAAGAGTGAGACCCCATCTGAAAAAAAATAGCCAGGCATAGTGGCAGTTGTCTGTTATCCCAGCTACTTGGGAGGCTGAGGCAAGAGAATGGCTTAAGCCCAAGAGTTTGTGGTTGCTTTGAGCTATGGTTCCATGGCACTCTACCGAGGGCAACAAAATGAGACTCTGTCTCAAAAAAAAAAAAGCAAAAAGACAACCATTATATTGGGCAGAAAAATCTCAAGTTATATATTTGATAAAGGACTTGTATCTGGAATATATAAAAAAAACTTTTACAACTCAGTGAAAGACAAATGACCCAATTTAAAAATGAGTCAGGGATTCAAATATACATTTTCCACTAAGAAGAGATATAAATGGCCAATAAGTTCATGAAAAGATACTCAACATTACTCATCTGAAAAATGCAAACCAAAACTACAAAGAGATACCACTTCACACCATTAGGCTGGCTGTAATCAAAGGATAGACCACAAGTGTTGGGTAGGATATGGAAAAGTTGGAATCTTATTCATTGCTGGTGAGAATGTGAAATGGTGCAGCCGCTTTGGAAGACAGCCTGGCATTTCCTCCAAATATTAAAAATATAAGGTGACTTTGTGACCCAGTAACTCCAGTTCTACCTGTATACTCAACAAAATGAAAACATGTTAAGTGAAGAAGCTAGTCATGAAAGGCCATGTATGATATGATTCTGTTTGTGTGAAATGTCCACAATAGGCAAATGCATAGGACTAACAGCTGTCAGAGTCAGAGGGGGAGTTGGGGACTCAGGAGTGGCTGCGTGTGGGTACAAAGTTTCTTTTGGGGATGATAAAAATGGTCTGGGATGAGATGTTGATGATGACTGCATAATGCTGTGACTATACTACTAAATGGTAAACTTTAAAAGGATGAATTTTTCTATGTTATTAACAAAGGCTAAAATGGGCCAAATTTGCTTTCTTGCCTTTGAAAGATTAAAGTGAAACCTACCCTTTTTTGAAAATTTCAAGACTGCCACATGCGCTTTACTCAACTGGCCTAAATGACATGACTTTAGTGGTCTGAATCAGGTCCCTGGTGAGCAGTTGCCTAAATGCCATGTGTATATGCTATGTTCTGTTTGTGTCTCACAGCTTCTGTTGAGGGGACACTCAGGACCCAGCAGCGAAGGCCAGTAGCTATATTCACCCAAAGAGGGTTTTTTTCCAGGTGAAGTTTGAGGTTATTCACAAAGCAGCAGGAAGCATGTTTGTGTTGTGCCTGGCTGTTTTTAGCCTGTGTATAAGCCAGAGATGAAGATTTTCAGCTTCATTATTTTAAGGGACCTAATATTAGGTTAATTTGTTCATCACTTTTGTACACATAGAGATAATTTAAGAAAAAAAGTATCAGTAACTTTTATTTTTAAAAAGTACTTTAAAGAACTACAAAACATTGATTTATTCCTTAATACCCACTTAGAAGTTACTTTACTTTATATACATATTAACATCTTGCTCTATGCATTGTACCTCATATTGCAAAAAGATTATTTGTGTGTAACATACTAGTTATTCCTGTATCTTAATTTAAAAGTAGAAAGCTGAACAATCTTTTAAAAAATCAACTGTGTCTAATGCACATGTTCTCAAACTTCTGTATACAAAAATCAACTGAAGCTCATTAAAGATGTTGAGTTTCCTAGGGCCCCAACCTCAAGAGATTGGTTCAAAGTGAAATTTTAAGTAACACCGCAGATGATTCTGAGAAGCAGGGGTTTGCCTATGGTAGCTGTGCCCTGGGAACTCCAGCCAGGAATTAGTATGTAACCGAAGCATGGTTAAAGTCCTTCCCATTACCACAGGTAATTAATATTTTCTAACCATCTGATATTAGAAATAGATGACATCCGCACTCTTATTCTGCCCTTAGAAAACAATAGTATTTTCTCAGCAGCATCACATTTCACAGTTAGAAATCATAGCCTCCTCACCCAGTCAGCATCTGCGTGCTGTTAACCCATTCATGCAGCCATCTCTCCACCTGCTCTTTCCAGATTTCCTTTGACTTAGCTGAGTATACTGCGGATGTTGATGGCGTTGGCACTTTAAGACTTCTGGATGCAATTAAGACTTGTGGCCTTATCAACTCTGTGAAGTTCTACCAAGCATCAACAAGTGAACTTTTTGGGAAAGTGCAAGAAATACCCCAGAAGGAGACCACCCCCTTCTACCCTCGGTCACCTTACGGTGAGAATGCACATGCCCAACTCTGCGTATATGCAGCGTTCTTTGCGGACTTGGGGTTGGGCGAGGGGGGTGCCTGTTTCTTCTTTCCTTCTGTTCATGTCTCTTGGCTGAAGTCATCTGGGCGTGAGATTAACATTTAGACGGACGAAAGTGACTAGACTTGTTGAGAAGCATACCTTTATACACTGCTAACTGCAAGTATTTGCTCCCATTGCCTCCGGGGTGAAATTACCACCTCACTTCATCAATCTGTGTTCATTCAACCCTTCTGTACAGATCACTTTAAAAGGAAAATTAGAACCAACATGATTCTTTTTCTCGGCAATTGTGAGATTGTACTGAAGTGATAAGGTTTCTTGTTTCTTATTTCCCTAGTGAAAGTTTCGCTGAGCACAAACCCTTACAAAAATAAAATAAAATTTGTAGGGAAAATGTTCACTAAAGACATCAATGATAACATTTCAAAGCAGTTTGTTAAGATCCCCAATTTTTTACTTTCTAGTTCTTAATAATTTAAGGGAGTAAGACCTAAGAAAAGTCAGCTTGATATATTGCACATTATTGTTGAATCATTGAGGTTGTGAAAGAATACACAATAGATATTATAAGAGTAAGAAATTGTTGGGGGCGGCACCTATGGCTCAGTGAGTAGGGCCCTGGCACCATATACCAAGGTGGTGGTTTTGAACCTAGCTCTGGCCAAACTGCAACAAAAAATTAGCTGGGCATGTGGCAGGCGCCTGTAGTCCCAGCTACTCAGGAGGATGGGGCAAGAGAATAGCCTAAGTCCAGGAGTTGGAGGTTGCTGTGAGCTGTGACACCACAGCACTCTACTGAGGGTGACAAAGTGAGACTCTTATCTCTTAAAAAAAAAAAAAAGAAAGAAATTGGTGGATATTTCCTGATGAACGTGATTAACTGACATAGGAACTTTTATTCTGTCTTTTACTTTTGATGTATTTTTTTCTATTTGATACATTACAAATGATAATTATTATTTAAGTTAAGTAAAAATCACTGTCTTTTATAATAAACTTTATTGCTTTTTAAAAATTATTCCAACAGGGGCAGCAAAACTCTATGCCTATTGGATTGTGGTAAACTTCCGTGAGGCATATAATCTCTTTGCAGTGAATGGCATTCTCTTCAATCATGAGAGTCCCAGAAGAGGTTAGTAAATATATTAATTGAAAAGAGAATTTTAGACTTCTAACAATAACAGAAAGTTGTATATATATTTAGTATATATATTATAGAGACTGCTAACAGCTTTATGTACGTTTCTACTGTGAATGTCACAAGTTGTAAATAAAGAAATAGAAGTCCAGCCTCAGTTTTCAAATTTTGTTTTAAATTTGTTGAAGTTTTTAATTCATCATGAAGAACTAAAATAGTGTCTCAGTTTTACCATTTTCAGTGGTAGGTTTTATCAAGCATGTTTTCAGCTGAGGTTTAGGAAGCTTCCATATGACCACAAAGGAATAAGTAATAAAGTATTGGTGTTTCTGGAAGTTACTTCTAATCACATACACTAAATATGTAGAATCTGTATTACTTTTTACTTTGAATCAACCAGATACTCAGTATTCTTTTATATTCTATTAAATAGACACCCAGAAATTTCTGTGCATCTAAAGCATATTTTAAAATTTGAAGTTATGTTTTTATTGACACATAATAATTATACATCTTTATGGAATACATAGTAATGTTTGATATATACAATGTGTGGTGATCAAGTCAGAGGAATTAGCACATCAACCAACCAATTGCACATCATGCAAACATTTGTTTGTGTGAGGAGCATCCTAAATTCTCTCTTATAGATAATTAAAAGGAAAAACAATTTATTGTTCAATGTAGTTACCCGACAGTGCTAGAATACTAGAATTTATTCCTTCTACGTAGCTGTAATTTTCTCTCCCTATTCCCCCTCTTCCCTAAAATCAGTTCTTAATACATATTGAGTTTTTTGTTTTGCTATTTTTTGGGAAACTATATCTATTTGTATTGGCCTGTTGCCTTTTAATAGTTGTTGATGAGACTGTAACAGTGTGATAGCTCTGCTTTCCCCAGTATTAGGTTTTAAATAACAAAATGTGTACTTCCATCATTAATTCTGGTGTACTGAAGCATGAAAACCTATTACAAAGCAGGCACACTCTTTTCTAAGTAAAAGTAATCTGTTTAATTTTGCAAGAAGTTTTATTAACTTTCAATATCACTTAGTCTTTTATTCTGAGAATAGGTGAGAAGTCTTAATGTTTTAAGTTTCAGGCCCAACTAGTAACACTGATAACTTTTTCAGTGAAATTTTATGTGACTGCCTAGCCACCTAATTAAACTAACAAGTCATGAAGAAAGATTAAAGTGACAGGTTTACAAAGGTATCTTTAGCGTCAGTACTTTTTTATCTTATAATTGCTTACGTTAAAAATTCCCATGATGGGCATTTAAAGCATAAGAACCTAGCCTGTCTTTTAGGTTGGCTGAAAAGAAAACAAGTTAAAAAGCAGCCAGAAACATTTCTTTAATTCATTTTATGTTTCTGGATGTCTTTAATAAGGGGAAGAGGAAAAGGAAGATCTTAGCTATCTTTGCCCCAAGCACTTCATATGCATGATGCTCAGGGACTGTTCAGTAAATGGTCATCCCTGGCTTTTTTCTCACAAACATGTCTATACACATCGTTTTGGGTTCTGTATTCTTTCCCCCTCAACTTTTCCACCTGGAAAAATTATAAGTAAAAATTATAAGTAAAATTATAAGCCTTCTTAGGTGATAGAATAAAAAGATAAATGTAAATAAAACTCTTCTCAGTCCTCTATTTATACATCTCATGAGATCTGATTTTTCATCTTATGTATATTAATCACTTTGTTTTACAAAACATTTAGAAAGTAATACTTTTTTGAAAGAAAATTTAAAAGTGGAGAGTATAAGGGAAAAAAGTTCTGTCTTTTATTCTGCCTGATAACCCGCTTTGTATGTGTGAAGATACATGAAACTTTCTCAAGGAACGGTAATGGTAAGTTTGAGGAAAACAAAGGAAAAAAGGTGTGTCAATAAAGACTGATAGCAAGAGATGAATGCAGGTCATGTTCCAGGAGCTTTGATAGTTGCAGAAGTCAACTATGACTTGAGGATCACAATTTTAGTACAGTTTTTTCCTTTCTTAAAATGCATACATATTTTTTTGGCATCCTCAGTATTTTTAGATGAATGAATGAACAGCTGTTCTGGGTTTCAGTAAAACCTAACTAACTTGACAGCTAGGTGAAATGAATTAAAGAATAGTAGAAATGTATTGGATAGTTTTAAATAAATATTTCATAAATAGACATATAGTAATCAAAGCTAATAAACTATTCTAAAGTAAAGATTCAGTCTGATATATAATAATAAGCAGAAAATTTATTTTTAGCAATAGTATTAGTTTGCATATCTACAATTCGCTATGATACTTTAATTGATAAAGTAAGTGAACATTTAATTGAACATTTATGCATCAGTTCTCTTACAGGCAATGATATACACTTCTTTTTTCTGATGGTCTAGTCCTAGGCATATGATCCCAAATGTCCAGTTAGTAGACCCCAAGTTGATATAGTTTTGGATGGATATTTAACAAAAAATAATTGACAGGATCCTTTTTGAATAACATTCCATAAGAATTTCTGAATTTTAAAAGTATAGAAGAAGTACTTTTTTTTTTTTTTGCTGTTTTTGGCTGGGGCTGGGTTTGAACCCACACCTCCAACATATGAGGCTGGCACCCTACTCCTTGAGCCACAGGTGCTGCCCTGGAAGAAGTACTTTTTAAAGAGAAAGATAGGTTAGACCAAAGATTGCCAAACTATGACTCAAGGGCCAAATCCAGCCTGCCAATGTATGTTTGTAAATTAAGTTGCATTGGAACACAGTCACATTTATTTCTTTATATATTGTCTGCACCTACTTTCACACTATAGAGTCCTGTAGCCTGCAGAGCCTAAAATATTTACTGTCTAGGCCTTTAAGAAAACATTTGCTGGTCCCAGCTGCAGCCAGATAGATCCTCAAAATCTAAGAAGCTTTCAGTTGTTTATTGTGGTTTTCTCCAAAGGTAGCAAGGTAGTCATTTAGAAAAATTTCCTGCAAATGTTAAAATCAGTGTCCATAGTGAACCAGTCCTTAAGCAGAATTCCTGATGTATTTTGGTCATTTGGGGTTCTCTTATCCTCTGCTGCTCTGTTCAAATGAGTAAATGTTCTGAAGGATACACACTGTGACCAAGTGCTCTAAGGGAAAGCTAATTGTCAGTGAGGTATGGAATCAAACAGCTAGTCACTGAGCACACATCTACAATATGGTTCACTGCAGCAACCGCAGCTCCTGAGCTTGGACACTTTCTCTTACTATGTTTTTGACTGCCTTATGTATCTGGCGAGCATCAGATCAACAGTCAGAAATCTCTGATGTAGGGAATAAAGCTGATAATTCATTGACGTGGCCTCTGCTTCCCTCACCACCATCCAGTCACTCTTTCATTGAAAGCAAGACAATGGAGGCACTCATATAGTAGGCTTGCTTTTTATAAAATGGAGGCACTTTAGTTATATTTTACATCAAAATAATAATAATTAAAATTTTAGAATTGTATGTGTAGAAGACATGAAAATGTATATATCAGTATATGTTTTGTAGGTAACTATTATGATGTACTGAATGCTGATTTTCACAGATGTTACAAAGGTGACTTTATTTATATAGTTTTATCTGTTTTTTTAAAAATAAAGAATAGTCATATACCACACAACAGTGTTTTGGTCAACAATAGACTTGCATGTATGATGGTTGCCCAATAAGATTATAATACTGTATTGTTACTATACTTTTTTGTAAGTTTAGGTCCACTTAGATACACAAACACAGTCTCATTTTTATTATGCTTCATAGATATTGCCTCTTCACCATTCTTTTTTTAAAAACGAATTGAGGGTTAGTGACAACCCTGCCTTGGGCAAGTCTGTTGATGCCATTTATCCAACAGCATGTGCTCACTTGCTGTCTCTATGTCAGATCTTGGTAATTCTCACAATATTTCAGATTTTCTCATTATTAGTCTATCTGTTATAGTGATCTATAATCAGTGATTGTTGATGTTACTATTGTAGTTGTTTTTTGACCCAAAACAATGGAGGAGACAGTGAATGTGATTGATAAATGTTGTCTGTGTTATCACTCAGACAGTGGCTCCACTGACCAGCCATTCCTCGTTTTCTCACCTCCTTGGGCATCCCTAGTCCCTGAGACAAACAATATTGAAATTAGATTAATTAATAATTCTACAATGGCCCTACAGTGTTCAACTGAAAATAAGAGTTGCGTGTCTATCACTGTACATCAGGCTAGAAACGACTAACCTACGTGAGAAAGCCATGTCAGAAGCCAACACAGGCCGGAAGCCAGGCCTTCTGTGCCAGACAAGTAGCCAAGCTGCAAATGCAAAGGAAGAGTTCTTGAAGGAAATCAGAAGTGCAGCCTCAGTGGATGCACAAATGATAGGAAAGCAAGACAGCTTTACTGCTGATAAGATAATATTTGAGTGGTCTGGATAGAAGATCAGACAAGCCACATATTCCCTTAAGCCAAAGCCTTATCCAGAGCAAGGCCCTAAATTTTCAGTTCTATGAAGGCTAAGAAAAAAAGAGGAAGCTGCAAAAGAAAACCTTGAAGCTAGCAGAGATTGCTTCATGAGGTTGAAGGAAAGAAGTCACCTCCCTAACATAAAAATGCAAGGTGAAGCAGCAAGTCCTGATGGAGAAACTATAGCAAGTTATCCAAAAGATCTTAGCTAAGATTATTATTGATGAAGTTGTCTACACTAAACAGTAGATTTTTGGTATAGATCAGGTGTCCTCAAACTACGGCCCGCGGACCACATGCAGTTTGCCTAGGACATTTATCTGGCCCGCTGGGTGTTTTTGCTGCCGCTGCCTGTCCTGCTTAGCAGCCGACTCGTCCCGGGGCCCACAGTCCGGCCCTCCAATGGTCTGAGGGACAGTGAACTGGCCCCCTGTTTAAAAAGTTTGAGGACCCCTGGTGTAGATGAAACAGACTTCTGTTGGAAAAAGGTGTCATCTAAAACTTTCATAGCTAAAGAAGTGAAGTCAATGCCTGCCTTCAGA